GACAATTTATAGAACGTAAAATAATCTTCTACTAACTCTTCGTACTGAAAACGACTTATTTTTGTCTACTGGGTAGGAAATAAATTTTATCGTCTTTTTGATTAACTGCTTAACTATCTTTTTTCAGTCTACGTCTCTCCTTTCGTAAATTTCAATTAGGTCTCTGGACGATCAAAGAGTAACTCTCCCCTGTGACATGTTCGACTGGGTCCTTGCCTCTGTCTTTACGCGCGCTCTCTGTGCGTGCGGGTACTTGGTGACCTCTAGTACTCTCTATTTATATACCTCGACCGTCGCCAGGGCTTTCCTAAAACTTCCTGCTTTATTTCTACAGACACAACTTTTTGATTTTGTACAGTCTACGCAGTCCGTCGTCGGTGATCGCCCCGGTGATAAGTGTCGATCCACGGTCTCCATTGGTAGTCGCCCTCTCAAAGGCGTAGAACGCCGGTTTAAGTCCCACTTTCCTCCCGTCGCACCTGTTTGACAGTATATGGTTGGAATTATGTGGTCTATCTCTCCCCCGAAGCGTTCCCAGTACGCACTCAGCCCTTCATTAGCTCCGACAACTATTCGTCACCGCCAAAAGAGGACGCCCTCCCGGTTCCCCTTCGGTCCGAAGGGGACAGAGAACATCAAGCCTAACATCAATATAAAAATTAATTTTTATTGACTTTTTGGTGAAGCAAATCAAAGCCTTTAAGAAACAAACCACACACGACGGGCCGGACGAGAGAGGGGGTTAAGAGTAACTCACTCATAAAATGGTTTCTCACTTTGTCGCGGGGAGCTCTACAATGCCCACTTGGTCATTTAACGTGAGAGACAACGCTCTCCTCCGGTCGCTTAAACGAAAGGGAACCCACTTTTTTTTTCTACCTCCCTAAACCTGGTTAGTCTACTCCCCGAGAGCAAAACAAAGGATGGTTGGACCACAACAGTCGACAGTAACGGGTATCCACTTCAGGTCTCCACGCCAGACCTGGAAGGGAACGGAGTGTTAGGTTAGTTTAGCAGTAGTTGAATTCACAACGTCACTGCCGGCAGGATAGAATTCGCCTATCTTCACGGCCCGAGCCAAAGCAAAGGAGCTGTTTTTTCGTTTACCCTAAAAGAGGTATCCAAAACCTTTTATCGAGCTTTTTTCCAGTCACCTTTTTCTTGGACAATGCGGCATTTACGTTGCAAAACAAGTCAGCGCTATTAATAGGGTGTACAGATGGGATGAAAATATGTAGAAAGCTTAGTAGGTAGATTAGCTATCCTTCTATCTATCGGCAGTGACGTGGTGAGAGTTGCGACAATCTTTCCAATCGTTCGTTGATTCGTTCACGTTAATACCCTCCCAAACTCTAAACGGCTTATAAATTAGTTTTTTTATTACGATGATTTGAAAGGCGACGTCGTCGTCGTTTGTTGTTTTATGTTAGACTACCTGTCCGGTTACCGGGTTTGACCTCGACTACATGGTCGTGCCTCCTTGTTTCCCTCGTTTGGCCCTACATTTTGTAAATTTCCAGAGGACGTAATCAAACACTTACTCTACGAGAATAATCTCAAAAGCCGAACCTCTCACGCAACGCCTGGACGAGCCAGTCCTATTGTCCGCGCACACATTCAGGACGTAGACCAATACTAATGTTTACACACATTTTACTATGGCCCGCGACATTAGTGAGTATGTACCAATGCAATAACATGTAACTGGTGGTGTGGGGG